GGATCTAAAAAATGATGCCTGGGTTGTCTTGTCCCGTTCCTGCAAGCGGACGAAAGAGGTGTCATCTTATGCACTGCTCTGGTACCATTGCCATTGTCTGTTCGCCAGAGAATGGAAGTGCCATAAGCGCTTACTCCTTTGGCCTTCCAGGTTCTGCCTCTTCCAGAATTCTCCTCGATGCTGGCGCGGATAAGGTAACGCGATGCACCTCCACGACGGCGATCACTATGAATTAGAGCTCATTTTGTTGCATTGCGCTTCCACGAAGTGTCTCAGCATATATCACATCTTTGAGTTGCTACCGCTGACAAAATCTACAGCACGTTTTGAAAACCCCTGCCTGAGAATCTTGGACATTTTGCTGCAATTTAGAGAACTGAATCGTAAAAACTTCGGAATGGGAATCATCAAGCAGCACGGCCGTTCTTTGTTCCGATAAGGACAATTTGGAAATTCGCATTCGCAACATCTGCTGACGATTGGGTTCCCCCTCGCTGTGGTGTCGTGGCAACAGATGCTCTGGACAGCAGCCCATTACGGAGACATGAAGCTACTCAAGAAGGCCCTGGAGGCCGGAGCCGACAAGAACGTCGTCCTGTACCGCAACAAATACACGCCCCTGCTAGTCGCCGTCGCGGGGGGCCACCTCGAGGTCGCGAAGGCGCTTGTCGACCTGAAGGTCGACCTGGAGACCGTCGATGAAGCCGGCTTCACCGCCCTGGCCGCCGCAGCTCTGAACGGCGATTTGAAAATGGTGCAGATTCTCCTGGCTGCAGGTGCCAATCCCAATGGGCCTGAACGGGTGGGGGACATATCCCGGATGCCATTGGCCGCTGGCGCCGCCGCGGCCAGCCCGGAGATTGTGCGGGCGCTGTTGGGCGCCGGAGCCAAGGCCAACAGGAGGGACGAGGGGGGCAGGAACGCCCTGTTCCCGACCGTCTTGAACACCGGGGAGGATGCCCAGAGGGTCGCTGTGGCTCTGTTGAAGGCCGGGGCGGACCCCAATGCCCGGGGCGATGACGGGCGCACCCCGCTGATGGAGGCGGCCGTGGTGGGAAATTTGGGAGCGGTGAAGATGCTGGTCATGGCCGGGGCGGACGTGGCCGTGGAAGATCACCGGCGTGGCGCTGCGTTCTCCTACGTGTGCAAATGCGAGGAGGAGGGAGGGTACGCTGGCGCGGCGTTCTGCCCCGAGGGGGGCTGCGAGGTGGACGGAGTGAGGGAGGAACTGGCCAGGATACTGGAGGTTGAGGAGGCGGAAATAGTCGTCGTTTGAGAGGAGACATGGGGAAAACTCGGGATCCCAGGACGACGCAGGTACTATGCGAGTATACGCGTTCTTGCGTGAGAACAAAATGGGAACTTCCGGCCTCTGTGCTGGCGCTCCAACCTACCGCCGTTGCTGCTGGCGCTGCGGCGTGGCGAGATGAAGCAACATGGAAATGGTGGTGAAGTTAAGGGATATGGATCCCTGTCGGTATAGATATGAGCCTTTAAGTACGTATAAATACTTGAATAGCTAATTAGCTATTTGAGTGTGCAAGTTGCTGCTTGAACACCGGGGAGCATGCGGCAATGGTGGCGGTGAAGTCAACACGGCGTTGGCAACAGATGAGTAGTTCGATGCCGGGTAAACAGGGCGATGTGCTGCTGAATGGCGGAATTTTGGCATTTCGGATCGTTGGATGCAGAACATTCGCGCAGAACTTGGATGTATAATGAAGTTTACCCTGCAGGTGGGCTTGGCTCATGGGCGTACCAGTGAAAATAGGGGGCGACGAGCCATGTACTTAAGGCAGATGACACGATTGGTCTCGCCAGTCGACTCACGCCATGGCATGCACAAATTATGGGACTATCACAGAAGATGCTTCATGATAAAGAGCAGAACGCCATTTACCGGCAGATAAATTATGTGCTTTAAAGCACATCCTTCCGACGCTCCGGTTCATGAGTAGAATCCCGATCCAGATGAATAAAGCTTTCCGCGGTCGTGAACAGTACAGATCCAGTACCGTATTTTAATGTACATGAAAGTACAATACATGCATTGTGTCGACACTGCCAATGCCTGCAGCCCAGCCGAAAGCGCCAAGGCCCATGGAGGCTTGCACCCATAGCACGGGCTGCTCGCGGCATCATTAGTGATATAACTGTTCATGATCATTAGCGAAAATGACATAACAACAATAATAATCATCATCATTAAGGACAAATGTTTATGCCGTCGGGGCGCCTGCGGGTGAAGTTGTGATACATGCGGCAATGGTACTCGGTGCATGTAGCGCACACCATGTGGCGGCCCCAATTCCACTTGTTCAAAATTGGGAATTTGCAGTACCAACATGAAGACCAAAATACGGAATCCTCTTTGCGCAGATGCTGCGCTTTTAAATGTCTTGCAACCCGCTCACTGTACAGCACAAAATGTCTACAGTCGTTCACAGGCGAAATTACCGCATTAAGCACATCACCTCCCCGCACAAGCAAATCTTCATCATATTACATCAGCGTGGGGCCAGCGCTGCCATGGAAGGCCCTACCCAGGCTTGGTTGTTACGTTCACGTACACGGTTTTACTTTTACGTTTTTACGCGTAAAAACGTAAATTTGCAAAAGGACCCATTTTTAAGGCTATTTTTACGTGTTTACGGCTCCCTGGGACACCCAGGTTACACGATGAAAGTTGCATATTATAATCAGTCCTCCACCATATCCACACCCGCAACACAATGCCCACCTCGCACTTGGCAAGGGCGATAATGGCGTTTAACGAAAACTCGTTTTCTTCCCCTTCCAGGGCATCTGGCTGCCACTCTCCGGATTCCGTAAGTCTGTATGTACTGTCCTTATGTACACCGGGCATTTTTGCATTTTGTGTTTACGTATTTTTATGCATTTTCACGTGTAAAAACGCAAAATTTTTTTAAGCGTAAAAACATAAATACGATCAGTTTTTACGGCGTAACAGTCAAGCCTGGCCATACCATCGGTCCCGGATCCTGGGTCCACGGGCACAGACAGCCAGATTGTTGACGGGCTCCATGCAGCCATCCGTGTGCTGGAAAACTTCAGACTTGCACTGCGTATCGCCAGTTTGACAATAAAATCAGAGATGTTGTATCTTTTGATAATCATCAACCAGAATAATACAATGAAATGCATCATATGGATTCAAATGCCATTATGATCATAATATCATGAATCAGACACAGTAAAATCATCGTACGTTATAATCAAGTAAGTCATAATGAGCCATATCATCATGAATCATGATGACTGTTGGCTCCAGCAGAGCGAATACTCAGTCCAATATTGACATTCATTCCAGTTGCACTCCAACATTTAAATTCACTCCAATTTTGTGCTCCGATACTTGCATACCATTTTTACGTACCTCGCAATCCTTTGTGGGCTGAAAGACAATGCCAGACATTTCCGCCATTTACACCGAGTGGGCTTTGAGCACTGCCGCCATTGGCCATGGAATGAGGCGATCTGCTTGTTGCTGTAATCCTTTCAAGTTCCCTTCTACAAGACAAAACAGTGCCACTGCACTATGGGAGCGATGGCGGTCACGCATACATCAACTAAAATATTTGCGTCTCGTGTCCGTTCGCATCCGTTCACATCCTACCACACGGGCGGCGATCGGGATCGCTTGCTGTGGCAGGACCTCTGCCCTTTGTCAAAACTGCCTCGAATTTAAGTGATTCACTTCATCGGTTTAGTGCAAAATTGAATGTATGGGCGGCGTCTATCACCTGCCGCTGTAGTGTGCGAGTTTCATTTTCACCTTGGCAAGGAATCGTTTTGACTGCGCATCTGAGAGCGCGGTCGGATAAAATGAAATGGCCGACGCCACCCTACGAATGACGCCCGCGCCCCAAACGCCAGCCCCAACCCTTGCATTTCAGCATCCACTGGTGTCACGTCATTAGCAAATGTTCCGCCCATTTGTCTCAAACACCGGCACTTGACTCGACCACATGCAGGCGTTCGACGGAGCAATAGAACGCCGTGAATTATTCGTATCATGTTTGCAAAAATACCCCATATGAACGAAGCAACCTTTAATGTACTGCATCTATGCAATAGCCCCGATACAGCCTTCCTTGCTCCTGGGCCTGATCAGGCCCAGTGCATTCGTGAATGCACTTACACTATCAGAAAGCACCATGTTTGCGATACCAGCTGCGATGCCATTTTGACACAAAATGGCGCCATCAAACCGACTGCGCCGGCACAGAAGTGTGCGCGATGGCATCAATTGGTGTCAAATATCATCGCAGTTGGCATCGCAGAAATGTCGGTTTCAACTGGTGTCAGTTCATGGTTGTGGGATACGCGAAACAACAACATTGACAGCGCGGTTTCATTTCCACCATAACATTGCTGGAAGCGCGGTGATGAAGGACTGCAGGGCCGAGGGGTGGCAACCCCTGAAGGGGCCCGCAGGCCAGAGTACACGGCAACGGGTTACTGCGGAGCTGAGTGTCTCTTGGGGCTCAGCCCCGGAACGTAGTATATTCGCACCTTCCGCACAGTAACGTAACGCTGGGCCTTTTTTGGGGGGGGGGCAATAAAATAAGCAACGCTCTGAAAAAAATGCGGAGCAAAAATTGTATAAATATAAAAATCTCTCATGCGGAAGGGTTGATATACTGCGGCGAATACAAAGTCATGCATAAATGCCGTTGCCTCAGTCACTGCCGCATCAGCGGTTGTTAACGCACGATACAAGTGTGGGTCCCCTCGCAATGCGCAAGCGGGAGTGGGGCAGATCGCTCTGGGAACGCTCACTCCTGCTCCTCCCAACGGTGGCAAGAGCGGTGTTCATTACAGATCCATCCTTTTATACAGCGCTGCACCAGCCAGAATCCTTCCTCGTTCGTTAATTCCAGAAGCTCCCATATTGGTGTCGGCAATCTGGACTCTAGACCCGCACCCCAAATGAAATCCCATTCCCTAATGACCGACCCGCCCATAACACGGTCCACATGAAACCGTCCTTGCAGAGACCTGCCGGGCAATCCACACCGCTCGAGGGGCACCCCGGCCGCAGCGCCGCGATGCCGCCGGCCGCGGGTCAACGGGCGGCGTGCGGTACACGCGGCGCGGGCCGCCCGCCAGGCGCCGCTCATCCCATCGCGCGGGCCCTCGCCGGCAAGCGGAGGGCCCCGGAGGCACGGCGGTGGGCAGGACAGGGTGAGGTTCGGTGCACTCCAAGAGAAAATTAGGCACAACCTGCAAGCGGATATGCAGTGTACATACAAAGGGCAAGCCCTCCTGGGCAAATGTGTATGCGAAGCTCATGTCCATGCTGTGAAAAGACGATGTTAAGTCTGCCAGTTGGAAGTGATGAGCACACAACACAAGCAGCACAAAAGGCAAGAAAATGGGGACAGGATGAGTGGCGGTTGTTGTTGCTCATTGCAGTGAATCCAACAACTGAGTGTCATGTCGCTGGCACATGCAAAGACAGCTCATAGTGTCCAGGTGGGGTGTCGAAGCCCACTGTGGTGCCAGTGGTGAGTTCAGTGATGGTGGTCGATGCGTTGGCGAGAAGCACATGATATCCCATGTGCGTCGTTTAGCCATAGTTGCCTGGAAAGATGGACCGAAGCAGACCAAGGCGGTATGCAAAGCGAACGAAAGGTGGTAAAGTGGGTGGGACAAGTTGGAAGGCGTTTCACTGCAAGATGCGCCAAATAAGCTTAAGAAAGTGTCCTATTCTGCCTGAAGACAATCTACGGCACTGTGAAAGAGTTAAGGCCAGGGGAACGCAACTGCGCTATTGCCGTAAATCGGCTTTGAACACATCTGGCTACTGGGCGAAGCGGCCCTACTGTAGCTTGCAGGCGATGCCAGGCAACCACTTGAGTCACAGTGGCAACATTGCCACCATTCAGAGGATGGATTTGTAATTCGTGGTCCTGTTTGGGACCCTATCCACATGGGACGGGGAGAAGGGCCCTGCTTGAGCTGGGAGTCGCAGTGTGGGAAGTATGCCCCAATGGGCTGGACATTCTTGAGCGATGATCGATGTAGAAAAGTTTCATGCTACAAGAAGGAAAGATGTTTATGCAAATTTGGAAAGTGCATCGAATGGGTGAAGTGGGTGCTGGGTGAGCAGCCTCCCATTAATGGTCCTCCAAGCAGTGGCAGCCAGACTGCTGCAGAAACTGCATTGATTACTTGGATCATTGGGTGCCAAGAAATGGGCCCTGGTTCTAAAGTGTGATATCATGCCCTGCTGGGGTTGGGCCATTTCTGGGACATTCAACAGTGTTGGCTTTGACTGTGTGGGCCGCACACTGCATGGAGACCTGGGAGACTATCAGCTCTTTGAAAGTGATACCTAGCCTGATTCCACATGTCGAATCAAGTGGAACTATGTACATAGATTTACCAATGCGTTTATCAATATAGGTATATGGCACTATCAGAGCCACTGCACACAATGGGGTGTTGCCCTCGTATAGGCAGTGCCAATGGTGTTGTGATCCCTTTGTTGGTCACTGCCAGTGCTGTGTGCTGCAACCCATGCGCTGCTGTGATGATCAACCACAGAACCTGCGCAAGGGCTCTGACAAGGGTGGCTGTCTGCCCATGATGAGGTCTGTGAAGGCTTGTCTGAGCGGCAATTTGATTCGTTTCCAGATTCCATCGTGCTGCATCACATTCAAGGCCAGGCATACCCAACAACACCACACCCATGTGTGTAGTTGTTGTTGATCAGATTCATGGGGCCTCAACACTGAGATGCATTGTAACTCCTCCCATGCTACCTGATCTCCAATGTGTCCACGATCGGAATTTATGCCCCTCAAATGTGCACAGTATGACAGGCAGTGCGGTTTGGATGGACCTGCCGGTGCCCAAGCGATGGTCACAGCGCTCATCCCTGAAGTGAATATGGTTGTTGGAGGTGTAGCTCTTTTGCAAAGTGTTTACACGATCCCAACTCGCCGTACTACCCTTGACGATATGAGTTCCAGCTGGAGCCACACAGCTAGACCAGGCAAACATATGAGAGAAATTCAAGGGTGTCCAATTGCGTTGCTTGCACATTTGTCACAAGATGGCGAGGCAAGCACTTTCAACCCGCTGGCGTTGCTGTACAAAAGGAGAGTGTCATGGTTATAGTTGTCGCAGAGAGGTTATTTGTGAGTCTTGAGAATGAAACAAGGTGATAATTATGGCCATTGGTGGTGAAGGGGCACGAGGAAGCTTTGGGGCTAAAACGATGGATATCATCAATGCAGACTCACTGTGCCCATGGTTGTTTACAAGATGGCCATGCTGTATACAGTTGGTCTGGCATAGATTAATTGCTAGAGTGGTTTCTATTTGTAGATGTTATCATTGTAAAGCGACATGCCAAGACATGTACCCGCTTTACCATGTTAAAAGCAGGTTACACAATATGCTGCCTGTGCAATCTTACCTCATTGTTCATCTGTTCATAATGCATGAGGTGAGTGAATGATTGGAGGCCTTTGGAGCTATTGTATTATATCTCGTCGTGTTGCATTGTCACCTGTGCCACTTTGCACAGCAGCATCTCTGAGCTCTGTCCATGCTGAGAACTGCTTTTGATTCCAGACATCGGAACACTTCTGGAGAGCATCTTGGGATTTTCACCTGCATCGTGTTGTTGCGACTTTCAGGAGGCACTGCAGTTCATGCTGGGGGTGACCAACAAAATGGAGCACAACAAAGGTGCAAAGAGAAGAAATGAAAAGTGGATCGAATGGAATGTATCCAGTAAGAAAAGAAATTGGATGAAAGGTCGAGACTCTCACCAGTTGTGCATCCATTGCAGAATGCCCTTACCTGCATGCTTCCATCTCCAATTCCTCCCTGGAGACTGATCCATTAGAAAAAGAGCACGAAAGTCCCATTTCCATGGACATGTGCCAATAAGTAAAATCAGACCCAGATGGAGGCCAACGCCCCAGGTAGGAATTCTGCCAAAGAGTTCTGCTGGGTGTGACTTATGCCACCCTTGTGCCACCCCCTCTGAGTCAGGACTGTCTGCAGTCTGTACAAGGATTTGAGTGCATCCATCCATCCATTGTTGTGGCACGCTGGAAGGAGGCAGGGCTGCTGATGTGACTAGGGACACGCAAATCTGGGAATAATCATTGTGCACAGTGCCCTGATGATGTCTACTAAGTATCCTTGCACAGAATATTCATTCTCAGTTTGATGCCTACTAAGTGCAGGGATACCATATTGGCATTGGACATCTTGTACTTCAAGTAACAACAAATGCAATACATGTGAAGTTAGAAATCACAATTTCTGCATGTGTTGTGCCGCAGTTTGTGCATAATCAAGGGTGCTGTGTAGTGACAACCATAGTGATATCCTTGTAGAAAACCAGCAGACTCATACTTTTCATCATCTGATTTCAGTACAGACAGATGCTGCCTGGACCATCGTGCCTTTTTCATGTTGCTTGTCTGGCGACGTTGTGTATTATCCTTTGGGCAGGAATTCGCCGGCTGCACTCTCACATGCCTGCTGTTGCCCCATTGTTGGCAGCACTTGCTGTGTCATCTGTTCCACAAATGTAGTCACTGCAGGTTGACCACATTCAAGTAAGAAAGTTGAGGACACAAGTGCTGCCTCTCAGTTGCCGCAAAGGACAGTGAAATTCAGTTGATTGCAATTATTGAAACAACACGACAAACAGAGCTGTCGCAGCTTGGGGGCGATGGCAGGGAAAATGGAGAAAGAATTACCTTGTCACACAGTTTCCAACTGAGTTGAAACTGTGATGAATTGGCAGAGAATGTGTGTTTGAAACTGAAGCCATGTTGACATGGACAAATCTTATGGTTGTAGTGATGTTGTTGTCATATTTCACCAGCGGCGTAGAGAATTTCGACTAGCACTCGTAAAATGCTTCAAGATCGCACCTCCACACATCATCAGCACTTGTTGGATGCTTCAAGAACACACCTCCACACACCATCTGTTGCGCAAATGTAAGCAGTGCAGTGCATCAAGGACTCCATATCATTCATTGCACTCCACCATTCCGAATCGGCGACTCATCCCCACATTCCAAAATTCCGGAATTCCTGAACTGGCGAGGCCTTTGAAGCAGTCCACGGGCGAGATTTTCGACCCCCTCAGCCACGCAGCACCGGCTTGTGCTTGTCAGTTTCTGATGGCAGCTATTGTTGGCGTACAGCATATGGTAACAAACAATGCGCGCTTGCAAACAGCAATCGACACTGGCTGCTGGGGAACAAACGCACTGCTGTTTTTCGCAAATTTAACTGAAGCAATTCTTTTGGGCTGCAGCACTGCCACTCGAGGCGTTGTTGTGCTGCCTGGGCTGGGCAACAGCTCGGAGGACTACACCGACTTTGTTGAAGACCTGACAGCGATGGGCATGTGCGTGGCGGTCCCCCAGGTCCGGCGCGTGGACTGGCTGCGGAATGCGGCTGGTGTCGTGGATTCTGCATATTGGGCAGGATCTCTGAAGCCCAGGCCCACTGTTGACTGGTGCGTTGGGGGTGTTTGTCATCGGGCAATGCCGTACTTCTGGTTGTGCTCCTGAAGTTCTAGGCCAGTGGTGCATTCCCTGGAAAGCTTTTGATGGCTGTTGATCGTTGGATTGAACAGCATACTGTTCACTGCGTTGCTCACGGACCACACAAATGTGTTGCCTTCTCCTGCTAAAATACTGGATATGTGGCCCATGTACCCTGTGGTTGTTGCTGGCTGTTGGCTGTTGGGGAATCTCCGCGATTGGAAGCAAGGTTCTGGATAATGCAGTGACCCTCGCTGTTAATGAGCTGCTGCACCTGCAGTACATTTTGTATTTTGTTGTATGTGTACATTTGATACTGTTTGTATTGTGTTTCATATTGTACATGTACCTAATGTTCGAAGGTCATGTGCACATGTGTATTTATGTAAATTTTAGTTCTGACAGGCTGTTCATGGAAGGAACTGTGGTCATTTTGCGAAAGTGGGGAGCAACACTTAGCACATTGTGCTTAGTACTTTGGCCAAGTACTTACTCCTGCCTTGGCCTGACTTATGCATGTTGTAATTTGGCCTGTTGGGGTCCCCTCATTGTCCAAATCACTAGCAAAAAAATGTCAGCTTCAATCCATGCTCAGGCCGCTTTTTCATGCCAGGATTTGTGCGCAAGGAACGTGGCATTTGGCACATGCGTGAGCAACCGGGGTGCCACACCTCCCTGAACTGAAGCATATTTAGTCCGCCAAATGTTGTTGTCAGTGAATGGAGCGCTCTTTCCTGCATTCAGGTATTTGCAGCGCTTAGGCGAAGCCATTGACCAAGTCAAGCGCGATGTCGATGGGGCACCCATCACTATTGTGGCCCACTCAGTAAGGATGTGTGCACGATGTTACCTGCAGGATGTTTGGGCGTCCAATGCCGTGCCAGTTCCATTCTTTGCCGATGCAAATTATGGTAGTTGCCTCCCATTGTTACTCACATGCACTTTATATGCACGTCATTGCCAATTGCCAAGTCCCACTGTGTATTGTATCATTCCGGCCCAGTGCTGCAGCACATGGGAGCCTTGTAAGCAACCCTTCATGCCAAATTGCTGCATCCTTGGTGGCCAGCACACAGATCCTTTGTGTGTGCTTGTTTGTGCGTTATGGCATGCCTCAGTGCTCAAAACTCTTGATTAGACACGACAGAATTTACACACTTCCGTGCTCATTCTCATGTGCCATAGTCTCAATTCGTATTGACATACTACTCCTCCATGATACCGTATTCATGTCCTCCAGGCAGGTGGCTGGCTGGGCAGGGTGTACTTGAAGGACTTTGGCACTGCTGGCATCGACTCCTTCATCTCACTGGGGTCACCGCACAGCCCACCTCCTGAGGGGGCAGAGGGCGTCGTGGATCAAACAAGGGGCATCCTAAACTACTGCAGTGAAGAATGCCCTGGGGCCTTCCATCCTGAGGTGTGTGGCTAGAGCAGAACCAGATAAGTACATTGCAAGTGTTTTGATGCCCAGTGCTTCAGTTCTGGGACATACACTTATGCAGCATATGATAATTGTGTATTGGACACACAGAGCATCCTTTTCCCCACAAGGTACCGTACTGATCCAGTATTGGTAGGCGTGTGTTCGACCCCCCCAAAGAGCGGTGGATACTAATAGTGTAGTAGACTAAGATAATTTTCGAAAAATAGGCCAGCACAATGCCCCAAAGTGGGCTTGAAACAATGCAAGATGCAGTGCATAGGTAACAATATCACCAAGTCAAAGCTACTCAGTCACAAGCACCACACTCCTGTCAGTAACTGCGCTATTCTTGAAAGACTAGCTGGGGACTGCTGGCGATTTGGTCCAACAGCGGTTCGCTGGAATGCTCGAGGCACGTTTTCCAATGCGATGCGAAGAACGAGGACCGACATGGGCCTCAACACACCAGGGCGCCACGCCGTGACGACAGGCTTGGCTGATGCCGGTTGGGATGGCTGATGGGATCTGCGATTGGGGTTGTGGCCTAGTAACGGGCTCTGCCTTCGTGGCGTTTGGGCGAGGTGGGGCCTCAAAACGGCGGTCGTCCCGACCAGCGCCGTCACCCGGCTATTCCTGGCGCTGGGTATTGGGCCGCCCTTGGCGGGCGCCACTCTGGAATCCACTCTGGCCGGCCTTGGCGGGCCAGCAGGCTGACTCAATACAGAAACCAGGGCACCTTGATCCTTGGCCGCTTCTTTGATTGCGCTGCGCAGCGTCGGTCGCTGCCCAACGATCTTGCCCTGCAAGCCCCAACGGCATCCACCCCGACCCAACCGTCCCAGTCGATGCGCGAATAGCAGAGAGTGCAGTTTGGCCCAGACTGGGCAACGCGGCCCAACACCAGCCGCCGACAACCCTTGCCACCATCCGCGCCTTCACTCGTTTCTGTTGAGATTGGGGGGGGGGGATTCTAACACCGGGTCACATGGATACTAACGTGGTTTCAACCCCCAGAGGGGGGATACTAAGGGTACTATGGATACTAATAAGGGGTGGATACTAATACCAGGCAAATACGGGTATGTGCTGGATGAATATGAAGTAAGACTGAAGAAACCTGGTGCGGTTCACCTGCCAGGAGTGCATGGAAGCCACCCATTAATGCTGGAGAACAGATACTCTGCCAATCTGCAGTCAACACTCAATTTCCACGCAAGTCCACGAATGTTGGCTCTACTCACATAACCAGTGTTTGTTGGATGAAGGGTGATTTCAGCAAACATCATTCTAGGAGCCCTCGATTCTTATGATTTCAGGCTCCAAGGCACTCAACAAAGTGACAAAATGTTTTCCAATTGTTGGACCTTAGGCTGTTTGCTTATGCAGAGGCAGGCCACAATGCATTCGTAGATTGCTTCCTGCGGTCTCATCAGTAAGGCATTGATGGCAGTGGTCCATTCAGTGCTTCCCGCAGTATAACTGAGCTATATGGAACTGAGATTGCATGCCGTCACACGATCTCTACGTATGCAGTTGCATTAGGGCATCAGCCCCCGTTTGGGTGATGTGACAGGTTGGCACTGTCATCCTTGAAGTGATAGGATGGCTTGGTGTGTACCCATGCAGTCCTACCCTTACTATTGCGATCGCAGGTTGGAGCAGTTTTTCAAATTGCAACCTGTGTTCTCATGAATCAGGACTTGCATGACTCATGGCTTGCCTGCCTCATTCTCACCTGGCTCATGTGGTCGCTATGAGGACCATGGGTCACATCATCGCATAGACCATGCGATCACCAGTTAGAATATGGGCACGGTATCTTGAAAGCATTGTAGTGGGGTAATTTCAGGTTGAACTGGCACTCAATGTAGACCAATACAAACATCAAGTCAGCGGTCGCTGCATTGGCTCAGTGGCGTAGGGAATAGAACAGCATGTGACATTGTCACGTCTGGCCCATCATATTCAATAGCAACAAGCAATGGCAAGACTTGCCCATTTCACACAATGCTGGCCTCTGAATATAACATGAATGTTCAAGCATTGTGTGTTCATCTTGATGTATGACATATCAAAGCAAGGAAGTGACTGTCAGCTGCCTGCTTCCAGAAGAGGCCATGCCAGTGATTTGTTGAATTGATAGCCAGAACGGAAACTTCCATTGAAAACCTGAGGCCATTCTGTGTTGATACTGTACCACCTGTGGAAATGGGATCAAGGTTATAAGTTCCATGTTTGAGTTATGTTTATGGGTAGAAGAATAAATCAGTCCAGTCAAATGTAGTGTAGTGGGGCTGCCAGCCCAGACAGACAACACCTTGTCAAGCTAATAGGGATGAGATTGAGTGCCCAATACTTTGGCCATCATGGACTCTGCAATGCTTGGGCGGCATAGGGAGCTCAAGGCTACCTCCCTACCTTGGTCAGCAAATTGAACAGAACAAACATAAAAAATGGGAAATGGGCCCTACAATGGGGATGGAATGGGGTCCCTCTGCCTTGAAGACCTTTGCCATCGAACCCTGGTATATGCAGTACTTCATCACTTTGTGTGACGAATGCAGCCAAGAAGGTGAATTTCTCTGTTGTCCTTGTGGACCACTATGTGCAGGTCAACTACGTCACTGTGGCAGGGCGCTACATCCAGGGTGCCCGGTTTAATGGCGAGGGCACCTTCCAGCAGAAGCTGGTGGGACTTGGCTACCAGCAGGTATTCCCAAGTCCACACTGACTGTACCTAGCAACCCTTGAACACCCCTCTGGGCAAGATGGGTCCATGGCGGAACTCAGTACTTGCAAACACAGTAGGGCGCTGAGTGCTGTGTCTTGTATCCAGATTGCTTGACAAGATTTTCATGGCGCATAGCAGCCCTTGTTCATGTTGGCCGGTACTGAGCTCTGTCCGGTTTCAGCGAACAGCAGACTGGCAATTTCGCACAATCTCATCTGTGTTTAAATAGTTCTTCGTATTGCTTATAAACGTTAGGTCGTTAATAAGATGCAAATAATCAACTTTAGCTATCACTTTGTATTGCTTGCATATTGTATCGAAGTAAGCAACTGTGAAAATCTGCAATAGTGGTATGTGCTGCATTAGAAGGGATCGATATTGTAATTCTATCCTTTGGTGTGGCAATTTTCACCACTGTTCATGTGAACCGTGTCCCAACTCCATCTTGCACGGTGCGTTTTTTTCATGTGCCATCAGCAACATCGATTCTGGGATGTTGGGTGCCAGCGGATTCTTGCTTCTTTCTCGCTACAAGATATTGCGTATATTGTGTTCAATACTGCATTGAAAAACTCTAGCCAGAACACTGCGGAATTTCATAAGACAATCCTTGGCACTACTTTCATGGACCAAATGTGGTGCTGACGGCTACCTCCTCCCTTTGATGTTTCGTGATTTATTGTGCAAAAGGTACGAACACTCACGACTGAACTGACTTAATTTTATCTAATTTTGTTAATTGAATTGATCTTGATTGAATTTATGTTGAATGAATGCATCTTTGTTGGTTAGCAGATCGACCAATCGTTATAGGAACAGTTTCGCATGTGCACCTGGCCCCACCATTCAGCTCCTCTAGTGCACAATAATTTCTTGCCCCCGTTCATCAAGAACTGTGTTTCTAGTACTGCGCTTGCACACCACGGACCATTAAGTCTTATGAAAATCAACCGGTGCAGCTCCAGTTCAGCACATAACGGGCTTCAGATATCAGATTTGCTGATGATTGACAGGGCCGAAACGCAATTATTATGCACTTTTTTGGCCTTGTTTGTATCAACATAATATACAATCCCATCATGATATGCATCAAACTGTGTCAAATATTTTTTTTCTGGCCGGTGTGAGCAAACTGGGCGCTTCCGGCGCCATCAGGTGTGCGGCCAGGCGGACGTGTGGGGCGACGGCGTCGTGCCCCTGCCAGCGGCCCACCTGGATGGGGCCACCAACATAGATCTGGAGGGCGTCTACCACTCGCCCGTGGGCGCCAAGAGGTCCCTGGAAGACAGCGAGGAAGGCGAGGAGGGGCGTCTGTGGTACGGCTCACAGGGGGTCCTGGAGCGCTGGTCCGGGTATCTGCTGTCAGGGGGTCAGGGAGCGGAGGCGAGCGCGCAAGCCCGGAGCTGAGGTAGCCAGGCGAGCTTGCCGTCAATGGTGCTGGCGGGATTCTTTTCCCTGTTTCTTGCCCCCCTGTTTCCTTTTCCTGTGTAACGTTTGTTTTCCCTCGTTGTGGCATTTGTTGTGGACGGCTGTGTGATGCCTCCCAGGCCAAGACCGGGGTGTCGGGTGTCAGTGCTGGTCGAACGCTTTTGGTTGTGTTTGTCGCAAGTGGGCATGCGGTGTGGTTGTGCCAGATCAGGCCAAGGGGCGGGGGGGTACAGCCCCTGCAACATTGTTTCCTTGAGAGCGTGTGTCACCAAATTTGGTTGGCGGTGCGGGGTTGAGATGGCATTGCCCATCAGTGGGGTGGGCTTCTGTGGATTCGGATGCTTTGGCGGGCGATGGACCATTCTTTGTGGATTTCTTTGGAAAGGATTATTTGCGACCCAGCCGGGGCTGGGGCGTTGCTGCTGATCAGGTGTGCTGATGGCTTCATGAAGCGAACCACAGTGGAATATTTCCAGCAGCATGTGAGTTTAGCTTATTTGAACATGTGATGGGCTTGACTCCGTGGATCAGTGTGCCTTCATTGCGTGCGAGGGGGAATGTTTTGTGGTGATCGCTGTTGGGTTATTGCTGGCATGTGATGCATGGGTCCATGTCTTCCTATGTTTTACGTATCGGGGATTGACGACTGAAGGCGCACATTCCCGTGTGGAAGCATATCTTGGGTAACGCTGTGCGAATTGCTGTTAGCAGTGTTGCAACGATGCAGGCCATCGTTCCCTTGATGTTGTACATTGGAATCCAGAGATTTTTTGGATTCCTATTTCTTTTCAAGGGAGCATTGTCTCGTTCTCCGACTGTCTTTGTGCCCACCGATCGTTCGATGAACTGTGCTCAGCGCACTGATGTGACACTACAACATCCTTTTAACTTAAAAGGATGTGCTTAAAGCACAGAACTCGATATGTACTGCTGTGTCCAACTACGCACATCGAAGTACCATTCCTGCCCCCCCGCTCAAAAAAAGCAACAAAAGAAAAAGAAGAAGGGGGGGGGGGGGATAACACTCTCTGAACATGCAGCTCTTGTCACCAATGCGGCTCCCATGCAGGAGAGCCGTAATGCGGCCACATGCCTGGTGGGTGCAATGGCCTATGGCCATGTCCAAGGGCCCCAAAATCAAAGGGAACAGACGTCCCACTGATCTCGGAACAAAAGCCCCAAAGGTTGAAGATGAGTTGAACATGGCAGTTTGCTTGCCAAGAGGCAGCACATGTTTCCTCATGTGGACAACATATGCTGCTAACTTTGGTGAATGCTGCCAGCCAAATGGTCAAACCGACAGCACTGCAACTGGTGCACAAGCAGATGATACGATACGTGCACAGTTAGCCCACAGTGCATGCGATGATTGTGAGATCATTGAAATGCTGCGTGTAGGCTCACGCTTGTATGCATGTGTGGATTGGCCAAGGCTGGACAAACATCCCTTCACCATTCTGCAAGTGATGGTGGTGTTTTCACACCGCGACATATTCTATCTGCTGAGTTATCTGTGCATAGCGTTGACAAGGGAGACATGAAGCACACACCTGTAGGTGATTAGGGTGCCAAAATGCTGGTTGTTTTTGCCAAGAACAAAGGAACTAAAACATGCATTCTTACGTCTTTCTTGCCACATTTTTTGATTAGAAGACAGCCTTCATGCTTGCATCTACACCATATTTGCAATGTGCCTCAGGTGGAAATTCTCTGTTGCCTCGCATGGTTGTTGCAATACCAGGTATACCAACTATGGCACTATCTACGGCACTGCCCTGCTGTGAGAGTGTCCCAGACATTGACTTGGACAGCATTTTGGGGCATCACCGTCACATTGAATTGGATGCCATCTGACTCCGTATTGTCATGGTGGTATCCTCAACGAGGGTCAACACGTCATGATTTTTCACAAGGGATACATTTGTGTTGTACTTTAGGCCATACACCTACAATATTTGTCATTCTGACTTAAGCCACATCGCAATGCTCTGCTGCAACTGTCATATGTATAAGTGCCTTTTGTATTTCAGCAGCCCCTTTGTCATTTATTATTTCTTGTAGTCAGCGTGATGTTCAGTCACACGTGAATAAAACCAGACGACTCAAAATTGCAGTAATTACAATAACAATAAATTGATAAAGGGTAGCAGCAGCAACAGCGGTGGTGGTGTTGGCAACAACAGCAACAGCAGCAGGGAAACGGAACAGGTGGTAATGGTGCTATTGCTATTTGGAACACATGACATGGTAAACTCAACATCAGATACAATACTACATTCAGCCCTTTGTCGCGGCAGTGCGGTATTCTGCTTTTCTTCAGAGGAGCATGCAAGCAACACTCACGTGGCAAGGATGCTAAAGAATGGTATGACAACAAGCATCACAACAGCTTCCGGGACACCATTTGGGACAATAGGCATTGTGTTTGCACCTGCAGCCTATCTTGTCCATGGTTGCGTGGTGGGGAATGCGGTCAGGCCGCAGGCTTGCTAAACAACCCAGTTGTGATGCGCTCACTGGGGACACCCTCCAATTCTCCCCAAAGGCAGTATGTCTGTGCGCCTTTGTTGTGGACATAGGACGTCCCAGTTGCTCACACTGCCCCCTTTTGGAATTGCACTTGACAATACCCATAGCTTGATATTCTTTACAGTGCCGGTCAGACAATATGGCCATAGGGATGCCTTGCATTCCTTCCCAAGGCCATTGCGTTTGGTGTGTCTAACATGGACCCCACCATGGCTGTGAATACACCACGCTCTCGACTGCGCGCCAGCACCAGTGGTTGGTGGATCCTGTCCAATAGCCTTGTTTTGACAAAACCTCTGAGATGATGTAGTAGGGCAATTGTGCACTGGGGAACATGGCTGTTGCACCTTCTTGGCATGCATCCACGTGCACCAGTTTGCAATTGTACAGACACCAGTTTTGATTAGTTTTTGTTATTTCTCTATTTCATGCATATGATACTGCTGCAGAATACAAGTAGTATAAGTGAATTCTGCGCTGCTGCCTGTTGCATTAATTGGTCGATTACATTTGTCAGATTGCCGAGCAAAGCCCTTTCACCACAGCTTGCTATTTCAGCCACTGACCTCCAGCTCATGCACTTGCTTGTGCCTGCATTGTTTGGTCATGTTCACACTCAGTCGCCCTAACTGCTGCCAATTGAATACTGCCAGAAGTAAAAAGAAAAAAAGGGGTGGAGAAGCATGCGCTGTTGGATTGGCGAAGGTAGAAAACGGCACAAGGCTGGCGATGAGAGCTGGCAATGCTTGACATACCAGAAACGCCGAAGGGTGTGAACAAGCCGCGGTGCTCTGATAAAGTGCTGCGATGGTGCGCTGTTGTGCCAGCGGAAAGGACACTCTGCTTTCCAGCGTTCTTGTGTGACGTGTTGAGCACTATGATGCCATCGGTGCACTGTGCTGCCCCATGTTGGCCAACATGGAGCCAATTGGCCGGCTCAATATTGGGTTGTCAATATATGACCTTCCAAAACCATCATTCCATTATTGACTATCAATTATTATCAATTAGATAAAAATAGTGAAAGGTCTATTTGGCCAAAT